ATGGTGGTCAGTTGCCTGGATGTCCAGTACTCACAGTAGTAGCATGGTCAAAAGTGGGGCAGCTCATATTGGGGGGATGATCATGTATACCGATGTATACCGTACATAGCAATGTAAGCTTGCAAGAAATCCCATGGATATGAGAATAGCCGGAAAATCTCATGTAGGCTATGGAAAATCCTCGGTTTTGAGCCCCAAATCTCTGAAAAAAACCAGGAAGAGGACCTTGAAAGCTACGATAGCGATGATGAAGAGGAGGAAGGATTGCTGCATCGCTTTGCGCCGTTCCTGACTGAGTCAAGGTCCGAGGACCTAGGAGGACCTAGGAGGACCTGGTTAGGACCTGGTTGAAACTGAGGAATTTGATGGACATGTTGAGTTTTATACTGCCTATAGTTGGGTTTGGTACGTCAGGAACCGGAATGTCTCCGGAGCCATAGAACTCCTGTGACACATGAGGGGGAAGTCTTGGGATGATCATATATAATCACAGTTTGTAAGCGCTTGGTCACGTCGGAAGCCCAAGAGTACCCTCTGGTTATGACTAACAGCCATGGAAAATAGATGGCCCATAGAAATAGATGGTTTACCGAACTTTTTTAAGTGGTGGATCTTTCCATGGCGAACTGTGAATGTCATAACCAGATGGTAAAGCAAAAGCAATTTGATGCCTCTTCCCACAGGATTTCTTAAGCCTCAGAAAAATCAGCACAAAGGACGCCTAAAACTTTCTTCGGGCGGCGGTCAGGACCATGGTCACAACCAGCCAGGGTCGTTTGAGTAGGAACCAGGGATGGCTGGTCCAACATTTCGATCTCGAGATGATGTTGATCCCCAATGGATTCTCGATGAAAATGGCGTTCTTACAACCAAATTAAATTAACTTTGACAGACATAGCAGTTTCAGTTTCTTGTTTTGGTTGGTTTTATGCGCATATCATCGCAGTCATCCACCTCTCTTTGTTTTCTACAGCCACAGAGATACACGCACATGTATGTGTATCTATGGATGTATATATGTATCTGTATACACATGGTAAGTCTAGTGCACCCACAACCATGCACAGACCCGATTTTGGACTCATAGGGTTGGTCAAAGTCTCATTTGAGGATTTCACACACCAAGACAGATGTTTTTTTGGTTGCTAGAGACCGCGCTCTTGCACCGATTTGAAAGGGTCTCTTCAGGTTCAAAAAAGCAAACTTCTGTAAAATGCAGGACATTTACATACATTTACTACACAACGGAAAAAATGTTCCTGCAATCAATGACTTTATGTGCACAAACCCTAGGGAAAGCGCAATTTTTCAGACTTTTATCTTCCGAAAAGTTTCATGGGTTTGGAGACATTGCAGCATTCCTTTGGGTTTTATGAATTATAGATTGTAGGAATAAATTAACCCCCCAGACGATGCATGAGCAACTTTATGTTAACGTCATCAAACCCTCCCCCTCCCCACGTCCGACATAGCATTGGTTGCGTGTGCAAGTTAAGAGAGAAAGTGGAGAGGGCAGCGAAAGAGGGAAAGTTAAGAGCAGAGCATCAAGTGCCAGTGCCTGTTAAGAGAACAAGTAAAGAATGTAGGATCAAGTGCGAGCCTGACTTGAAAGAGAAAGTTAAGAGCATAGCATCAAGTGCGTGCGCACGTGGACATGAACGTCAATAGCCCCCGATAGCCGTCTCCCACCCCTCCCCACATCCATTGGTTAATCATGACATTGGCCATTTTAATGGCCATTGGGACTACGAGGGCCCATGCCCTTTGTGACAAAGCCAAATGGTAATTGTTGGTGATACTCCTAATATATCCCCATCATTGTTTCCATTAAGTCACCATTGAATACCATTGATAATTCCAGGAAATCACCATTTTATGTGATATTCCATTCGTATTCCATCAATATTCCATGAATATTCCATGAATATCGCATTGCTATCCCATTCATATCCCATTTCTATCCCATGAAATCATATGAAATCCATACAAAAAACCATCATTTTTTCCAGCCTTTTGAGTCCGCCAGGAATTTTTTCGAGTCCGAAGTCTTTTCAGCTCCGAAATCATCCCAATAAATTCCATTGTCATCCCAGTGTCATCCCATTGTCATATCATTGTCATATCAATATTCTATGAGATCATCCCATTAAATCCCATTACCCTCTGGTTATGTCAAAATAGCTATTGAAAATCACCATTTTTCATGGGAAAATCCACTATTAATGGCCATGTTCAATAGCTATTTTGACATAACCAGAGGGTAAACCCTATGAAATCCCATGAGATCCACATCCAGCCGTGGGTCAACATCCAGTCGTGACTTGGTGTAGGGATGGCTTCGCAGTGGCCCAGAAAGCAGCTCTTCAAGTCGCCTGTGCCTGGGATGCGATTTTTTTAGGGAACATGAGTTGTGAAATCCATGGGAAAATGATGAAAATGGCTATTTCAATAAGGACAATTTGCAATCTTTAATAGGGAAAATTATGATACTCCATGGGATTTTCATGGGATTTGATAGGGTTTACGTAATGGGACATTAATGATGAATCCATGGGTTTTAATGGAATTTTTGAAACCGCTGGGAGATTCATGGGATATAAAACCAATGGGATTTCAGAGATTTGTCCTCTATTTTCACGTAATATCAACATTCTCAGGTACATATATAGATTTTAGGTATTTCTCAATTTTCAGGCAACGCCAAGTGGGTATGTCCGAAACATGGTGTATACCCCCCCAATAGGCATTTTAATAGAGACAATGATGATAATCCATGGGAATTTAGAGATTTCTCTATTTTCAGGTAAAGCCAAATAACTGGCAACGTTTCATTATGGGCTTAGATATCATTCAAGGTTGGGCACCTTTTTTTTCACTGCTGGCATTTCTGGTTGGGAATGGAATGGGTGTGTCTGAAATTGGTATATACTCCCAAAATGTGCATATTCTTTGAAAGATGATTTTGTAAGCCATCAATTCTGAAGCTTTTTCCCATGAATTTTGGTACCCCTCAGCCATTTTTCGGCATATTCCCATTGAATCTCCCCAAGCCATCCCCAGTTTGGACCACGCTCTATGCAGCGATTGCGATGTATTTTCATCGCAGCGTGATGGGCTCGTGGGGTCTTCCCATGGCGACGATTCTGTGGCTTGGCCCAAGGTCCAAGTTTTCAGAATCCGATTTGAGGATTTTTTGAAAAATCACCAGAGGCTAAAGATGACAGGGTAGATACAGTAGAATTGTGGGAATATTCGAATGTAGAAAAAACAACGTTGCCCATTTTTTTTGGGGCATTTTTTGGGCATGGTAAGTGGCAAAGTGGGATTTGTAGGATATTGGAGCTGCGCAGAACCCAGCTTTAGCCTACTGGTTGGTTGATAGGATGAGCCGAGTGCCCCATTGAAATTTCATTTCTCCAAAGTGCCGATATGGTTGGTGCAGAAGAGAATGACACCATCTTCGGACACACGGCTAAACTCACAATTGTCCCAACTGGAGAACCGATAATGCTACAGGTAATTTAACGTAGCTATTGAAAATCACCATTTTTCATGGGAAAATCCACTATTAATGGTCATTTTCAATAGCTACGTCAGCCATTACCAGAGGGTAATGCTACAGATGTTGAGAAGCAATCCCGCAGGTTCAAGATGGGATCCGACCGACTGTCCGGATGACAAGGGGTTCTGCGGATGTCATTTCTTACTCCATGTCCGCCAAAGGTAGGGTGGGTCAATGATCTTCCTTTTTTTGGACGCAGGTTTGGATATGTCTTGGGGATGGGGCTAATTTTTTTGTCGCAATGAATGTTCAACGTTCATTTTTTTTGGGTCAAGAATTTTGAGCCATTCCCAATTCTCGCTATGGAGTCCATGGAAGAAAACAGCTTCGCGGAATTTTTCCATGGATGAGGAGCCAACGCAGCTTTCAGGGGTTAGGTCATCCACTCCGGAGAATTGATGGTTAGTTAGTTTAGTAATATCAAAAACACCAAAACCTTGGATGCTTGATAGCTACGGCCAAGTCCCCAAATGTGGTGACAATTATCAATAATTATCCAGAAATGTCCAGAAATGGGGCATATCATATCCCAAATGTCAATCTTTAAACTGCTTGTTGGTTTGGAACATTTGAATTTTATGAATTTCCATTTCAGTTGGGAATGTCATCATCCCAACTGACTTTAACTCCATCATTTTTTAGAGGGGTAGGTCACCCACCACCAACCACCAACCAGTAAATCTCATGGCTTCATCATATTTTCTTTCCATAGCCTGGGGGATCATTTTCAGATGGTCTGATGACGCTCCCCAGATCGGTTTTTCGAAGAGTCCTGGTGATTTCTGAACGGCAGGAAGCATAAAATCACATTGTAAGTTGTAGATCATAAAATATCCCATAAGATATCCAAGATATGCAAGATATCCAAGAAAATGTCCAATAACTATCCCCATTGCATGATCTGAGTAGTGGCCAAAATACAAATTAACAGATTATGATAGGGCTTATACTACCTAGTTGATTGGGGCTGATTATCGGATAGAAAAGAAAACCGCATGGGTGCCCAAGTCATGAGTTTATCCAGTACACTTCAGTAGGCTTTGGTTTTGTATTTTTTCTTTTAATCGTGGGATGGGATGACAATCAACAGGGGCATTGCTCATGTCCCAAAATTGGTTTAAGAGAAAGTCCGGTGGTAAAACACCTAAATCAACCCACTACGTTTGGTTTTCTCCCAGTATATCTTCATGATGTTTCCATTCTGGTTGGTTTCATCCCTTTTGGATTGCTGAAATCCAGCACTATCCATATCTATCCCCATCAGATCCCAATCACTTGGTTAGTAGCTGAGGTTTTTTGAGCCATTCATCAATTGGATAACCCCAGAAATTGGGAAGTTACTCACCAAGCTATCCAAGCTGATTAACCACTGGAACCGTTTTTCGCCCTGGTTGCGTGATCCCAACGGCTTTAAAACGACCGGTTGCAGAGGTGTAACATGCTCTTCACCGTGGGTTCCGACCTTGGCTCAACTTTGTCGGGGATGTTCTACGGCATCATTGGCTCCTTCTGGGCCTTGTCGCTGGGATGCAGGGAAGGGGTTTCCCAAGTTGTGGCCATTGGCTATGGCACTTCATGGCTATGGCAAAATTGAGAAGACGAGAAAATGACGAAGAAGCATGAAATTTGGGTGATTTATGGGGCTATTTTGAGAAGAACAATGATGATTTCAATCCATTTCCACTTCTATGGCCACAGAACCCGCCTTGGCGAAGGTTGGTGAACTGGATCTTCTTGGGTTTCTTTCCAGGCGGCTACACTGGTGAGACGCTTGGCGGCGCAAAAAGCTTTCCCCCGAAAATGGGGTTGGATTTGGACACTTTTCATTCAGTGGGGCATTGGCTTCTTATTGGCTAAAACCTATCATTTTCCCATAGATGTTGAGGATGAAGATCCAGCTATACCAGTTACTTTCACCTTGGTGGGATTTTGTTCCATATATGGCACCCAAATTCGTTAATTTCGTTAATTATATCCAGCAATAGATGTTAATTTCGTTAGAGATTTCCGAAAGAGATGGGGAAGCCCATCAAAATCTTCCAATGGAAGTACCACAAGAAAGGCATTTCCCACAAGACCCCATCAAAATCTCAAACATAAATACACAAACAACCTACCCTCTAGTAATTTCATATATATATACACATTTATAGCATTATATAGTCATTTGAACATCACCATTTTTGATAGGTATATCATCTATTTCTATGGTTCATTCTCGCCATGTTTTTTTTCACCAGAGGGTACCTACCCCAAAAAATCACAGGAACACCTCGGTCTTTTGGATCGCTTTGGCGGTGATCTTCATCTACACCTTCTTGATGATCGCCCTGAGTCCTGGCGAAAAAGTCGGTGGATCAACTGCCGAAAATCGTAGTTTCGCAGTGGGGGTGACTGCTCCATTGGAAAATAAGGTGGGAAAAAAATATATATGCATGTTACAAATGTTCAGATATACATACGCAAACAACACCATGAATATTATGTGAAAGACTATTTTCATGTGTGCCAGGTGTGCCAGGAAGAGATGATTCAAACATATCCATATTGGGGGATTTCGTCAATCTACAGGTCTTTATATATCCATTATGTCTAATTCCCATTGTGGGATGGATGATCATCCTCTGTTGATTGATGAGTATAGTTTTTTTTTTACTACCCAATATATGGGTGATTATTGCAATCCAATCCATGGAATGGAAAATTCGTTCTTAATCAACAAGGTATGAAGGGACGACATTTTGGGGTTTGAACATATTTCTGAATCGATTTGTTTGAGGGAACATTTACAAGAAACCTCCATATTTCACAGGAAAAGCCATAGTTTCCTGATTTTCCCTTAAACCAATCCAGGAAGTACCGTATTTTTGTTTGGATCTTACATATCAGAAAAAAAGACAAATATCATTCAATATCACATGATATGACATGATACTAGAATTTCATAAGCCATCCCCATATTCAATGGGAATTTCAGGATCCTAAATTGATCCGATTGATTGGAGGTACGTTAGTACCATTTCTAAGGCATTTTCTGGGGACGATATTCCCTGAAATTAAGGCCTTATTTTTCGGCTTTTTTTTTTGGTAGGTTGCTCCAATCAATCGGATCCTTATATATGGCCAGTGATATTGGGATCACAGTGTAGAATAGAATATTTACATGTATCATAGACAGTATATTGATGTATATTTTATTATGTTGTGTGCAATAGATGATATACATATACCCTCTGGTAAATAAACATAGACCCTGAAAATCACCCATTTTTAATGGAAACTAGTCTTCCAACCCCGACAACTGCCAGGGTCTATGTTAATTTACCAGAGGGTAACCAATGATGGAAAATGCGTATCCCAAATTTCAGGTTAGTGAATTATTCTAATTTGCCCAGAAATATGTAGATTTTCTCCCTTAACTATAGATATATATATACATATAATATATACATATATATAGTATTGGACCTATTTCCTGCATCTTGGGGTCAGGAAAGTGCCCGAAACCATGCGCTTCTGGGCCTTGATCAGCTTCACGGGCGGCTACGCCATGAATTTGGTGAACCCTGCGGACAACGGTGAGCCGAAGAGCAGCCTCTGGGCGCCGTTTTTCAGTGGGGAAAGTCTCGGATGATCAGGTTGAAACGATGGGATACTTCATTTTTTGGGATCTCTCTCTATATATATATATATATATAATATAAATATTTTTTTTAAAAACATGTATAATATAAACATATGTACATATGCATAAACATAGAACTCCGCCACTCGGGCCGGCCTTCAGCCGATATGCCAAGGCAACTGGCAGCTCAGTGAGCAAGGTTATGCGGAAAACGCCACCTGGCAGCATGGATGATCTGATCGTTCACAGGATCTCAGAGGCTTCACTCTGCACTTCAAAAATTTCACAGCTACAAGCAGATTGGGATCCGCTATGATCAATTTCCACATTGGTCCATTGGTTGGTACCGCTGGTACCGCAGCCATGGCCCATGGCTCGAGGCCTTTATCACCTATATCCTTGGGGGTGTTTTGGCGCTGGTCATTTTCGCCATCCCCTTTTTGACTTCCTTGAAGCAGTCCCAGACGCGCGTGGCTTCTTGGCGACAAAAAAAAAGACCCAGGGAGGGCCAGAACAGGAGCGGAGATTTTGAAGGAGAAATTCATCAGTCCATAAATGGGGGCACCCCTAAATCATCTACCATCTGGTTATGACATTCACAGTTCGCCATGGAAAGATCCACCATGCTATTAAGTTCGGTAAACCATCTATTTCTATGGGCCATCTATTTTCCATGGCTATATATGGCTATGTTAGTCATAACCAGAGGCTATTTTTTTGAAATAGGATTTTGCATGAACCATCTAGCCATTGGGGTCCTCATTTCAGGACACCTCCGGACCTCCAGCGATTGTGGTTGCGTTCGTTCAACTGTCAGGTACGGGTGGCGAAGGATATGGCCGATTTGATCCAGCGATTCGGCAGCCAGATCCGTTTGGGGAGGGAGGGAAACTTATGAAAACCGTTTTGAGATCAGATTCTTGGGGGATGGATGATGGATATCCATTTTTAATAGAACTCTGGTAAACTATCACATAACTATGGAAACTCACCATTTTTGTTAGGTAAAGAAAAACTATTTTGACTGGGCCATTTTCAAGAGCTTTTTGTAAACGTTTACCAGAGGGTACCAGCTATTTTAGATGTTCACCATAGAAGGTTTTGACTTCTGTAGCCAACATCCTTCAGATCGTTGGTCTTATTGAGGCCCTGGGCCATCAGTTGAGTCGATAAAGAGGAATGCACATGGAAGAACGGACCCCAAATGGAGAGCTTATATATATATACATATATATATATGGGATCTCCTATCTAGAAATTAATTCAAGGCTTTTCTATCTAGAAATGGGGGTTTTCCTATCTCTCCAAATGTTCCTGATTCTTTTTTCTTTTGAAGGCATTCCTATATCTAGAAATTGGGACTCGACAACACTCCAGGGAGTTGGTGAAGTACTACAGCCGAAACAAGAAGACTCTGAAGATCTTCGACATCAAGGACCTGCAGCGACCTTTTTTATCGTCGAAGCGAAACGATATGACAAATTCGCGAGAAAAAGTGGTAGCCCAATGGGACTAGTCCCCAGAAGTACTCAGAAGTACGATGGTTTGTTTCACTGGAGAAGCAATGGATTGGGGATTCCCTGGGTTCCTGCCGTGTCTGGATCATATGTGTTGGTACATCTGAAATCTTCAGTATCTACAATGAATAGGAACTCAAGATTGAAATTTCCAATCCTACGTTTGGGGCTCAACATACTTCATGATCATATTGAAACCCAAGAAGTCATTTCTCCTCCGGTTGATGGATAAGGAGGGGACCCAGGTGGTCCTCCTGGTTGGCAACAGCCAGAACAGCCAGGAACACTTTCAGAGCTTGGGACGCAGATTAGATGAAGCAGATGCCCTTGGCGCCTTCGCCAAGTTATAAGCAGAACTCTGGTGTTAGGCAGGTCGCTTGTGGAAAAAATTGAGACAGTTTGACTGTTCTTGTCTACAAACAAGTTTCTCAGATTGAAGAATGAAGATCGCGTGCGAAATCTACGTTCTGTTGCTGCAAAGCTGGTGCTGTTGCTGCCATGCTGAGGCGGCAATTCTTGGTATGAATCATGTGGCAAGAGTTCCCGCCGTGCAATGACGCAGAAACTCTTCAACCTTCAGAAGGCGCAGTGATGTTCGTGGTGTCTGAGATTGGGGTCGGAGACACCGAAGCGGGAAGGATGCGAGTGAACAGTGATGACATCGGGGGAACATCGGGGGACCACTGTAGGACGTGTTTCCTTTAGGATATCATGCAGCCAGGTGGGTCAAAGGTCGAACATATCTTCAGGTGGATGGATATATCTTCAGGCCGATTTATTTTCATAGAAAGTGCTGCTGGGGTCCAAAAGCCGGTACCTGTGGGTCAAAATTGTTGACCTAGCAATTTTTCTGACGCTAGCAATTGGGCCCGTTGCTCCATCACCATTTTGAGCCATCAGAACCTCATGGAATATGCGGAGCCCCTGCTGGAAGTCGTCATAGATGAAGACTTTAAAGAGAGCCACTTGGAAGCAGGACGTCTCGTTATTGGATTCTTCGTTGCAGTGTGGTTTTTCACACTAGACCATCCCTGAGGACCTTTTTTTGGGGCTTGTTTCGTCATCATTCCAAGTAGGCTTTACCTAATATTTGAACCATAAATTGGGTGGGAACTTCGTTACTCTGGATCCTGAATCTGGGATTCCAGCCACTCAGGTCATACCATGATGATGTCCAAAATGAAGGGACCAATGGAGAAAGTGGTGGACGGCCGCTTGCCAGAGAGATCTTTCAGGGACTCACCAAACAGTCTGATGTTGAAAAGTGCGAACTATCACAGGTGTTTTCTTTCTTTCCCCGGTAATACATTGTATATATATACACACGTTATAATATGTTTGTATTCAAGCGGACACGCCATGTTGTTGGCTTTTTTGACGCCACTTCTTTGGGACACTGAAGATGACTGGAAAGTGCTCTGCTGAGATTGGGATGGCAATCACTCTTTGAATAAAGAACCACAGCATTGATCATCATCATAGCGATAATCAGTGATGATAAACATCATCCTCATCATCCTCGCCCTCATCCTCATCTTCATCTTCATCCTGATGTGCGGCTGAACTGTGGCCACAGATCCTGCGATTCTGGGTGAGCCATGCTGCGGTAGGTACAATGACCATCGTGAGCAAGCTGATCTTGGCCGCAGAGGATGGAAAGATCGATGAAGCTGAGAGGAAGGATTTGCAGGAGCTATCTGGTGAAAATGCTGGGAATTGGATTGAAGTAACTAGATGCTAATCTAGTGCTACTGTATCCCGAGACGTTGGTGAATTAATACGAGTTCTTGTAACGATTCATCCGGTGAATTCGAATCGTTGGCAAATGAACTGTCGATCCCAGAACTTGGTAGTGAATTGTTATCATGTAGCCAGATTCGTCATGGAAAAAGGAGGATAAAACCAGGGTGTTTTAGGATTCGTTTCGAGCTCTGAGTCGTCTGAAGCTTTCACCGAACATGGAACTTTTTGTCAGTGGACCATTTTCAAATCATCTAGAGTTTGGAACTGGTGATTTGTCCATTGAAGCTTGTTTTCCATCGCAGCAAACCCAGCAGAAACCAGGATGAGATGGACGACCTGCCCAGATTGGTGGCTGCTTTGCAAAGTCAGGTCGGACCGAAGTCGGAGCAGTGCCAAAAAAAGATGAGTGGCGCCAATCATAAACCATAGCCAATTGTTTTTTTATTGGTATGAAACCAATATTAGCCCCATATTACCAACACTCATAATCAAAATCATAATATATACTAGTATATCATCATAAACATTGGTATGAATCCATACAAAAAAATATGACCCAATTCTATATTTTTTTTCCCCAACTTGAAGCACTGGAAAAACCGACTGCCAGAGTTGTGACACTTTCATCGATTGCAGGTCGAGCAAGGCAGCAAAATGGTTGGCCGCGAGGGTCACAAATCCATCCAGGATGAGGCGGAGCGGCGGAGTGCGGATTGCGAATCTCCTTTGCTTGCCTGTTGTGACACATGTATCAAGTAGATAAAAACATATATAAAATGTATACATACATATATATATAGGTATATATATAGGTATATATAGATACACATGCATATTCATGTGTATCTGGGCATCTAGGTCGGTGGCTCCACCAAGATCGGTGCCCGTGCTGATCTCGACTACCCGCAAAGCTTACAGTTGGGGATGTAAAGACATCGTGGCCCAGCAGTTTCGGCACTCATGGTCAAGCCGCATGGCTACATGTACTGTATATATGTTGCGGAGCAGTCCATCGCCCAGACGCTGGGTGAGCACTACGTGTCGCTGACGATTTGTCGCATGGCACAACTGGTCCTGGACGAAGCGGAGAAGTTTTTGCACCCCGAGGGAGCGGCGAAAGGGCGAAGGGCGACGAGAAGCGGTAGAAATTGCTGTGATTTCATGGGATTTCATGGGACTTATTTGTGGAGAAACTCTAACTTTATAAGCAACTATATCTATATCAGATTTTTTACTCAAACCCGCTGGTCATATGGTCTTTGGAAGATCATTTTACTATTGGATATTGTTATTTTTGGATTCTGTGTTAAATTTTCTGGGTATAAATGGTGGTTGGCATTAGATGAATCATCGCCAGAAAGTTTTTTTTTGAGGTTGCTTTGGAATCATGATCCTTTTCCCAGATTACTGCATGTTTAAGATATTTTTAGCGGAGTTTTCGGATGATCTGATTTTGGAGGACATTGTGACGTTGATGCGAGAATCCAAAAATGAAAGGGTGATCTAGACTGATTTGGGATGACTTAACACTTAAAAGGGATCAGCTCATCATTTGACACTAGAACCATCCAAAAAGCCATGGTGTTTCTCATGGATCCATGGATGCGAAACGCCAGGAGACCTCGAGGATGATTGGTCCGAAAGCTTCAAGAAGTCCTGCACAGGTCTGATCAACTATGACAGAGGCGATTTGAAGCGGCTGAGCTCGAACAAAACATGGAGATGAATCAAAGGGATTTTCAGGATCCTAAATTGGAGGTACCATATATAAGGCCTATGTAAGGCCTATGTAAGGCAACATCCCCATAAAATATGGCGTTGGGAAATCCCATATGGCTCCATGGAAATCCATGACGACCTAAGGTGGGCTGCTCGCTCGTCGCTGTGTCTACTGGTGAATTTCATGATTGGTCTCTACGGTTCCCTGGCGACCAGGGAAGGGGCGCCCAAAAATGGTGGGCCCCTTGGAGTTCCACACACACAAACAGGTCACGGAGCAGATAGATGTATAGTCTAGTAATTCTAATAGCGACTATCAACATTACAACGGGATATTGATATACATTTATATTGATATCCGTCATGATCATGTTAGCAATAGCCCCCTCCATACTTCAGCGTTAAAAACCAAGGCTGGTGCGACACGGCAGCGATCGACCGGTGGAAGGAAAACGGTGGTAAGGCACGGTGCCGAGAAATGGCTGGCCATTTGAATGGGATAACGACCACAGGATCCCATTGACCAAATTGTCAATAGGTCTATGATGGGAAATAGCCCCAGTGGAGATAGCACCTAGAAAGTCCTGTTTGTTCCAAACGACACTAGGATGTAATTAATTGTACCCTTAGTTACAGAATTATAACACCACTTTTCACATGGTTTTCCACCCCACTCAGAAGTGTGATTGAACTTCATGTGGTCGTCTTGCTACATCATGAGAGCAAGAGTTGTTCTAGCGGCTCCAGTTCTAGAGGATTACTAGTAGGAATCCCAGAATTTTCCAGGAACAGTTGCAGGAGTTTCCCAATTTCCACCCTGACCCTTCGGACTGACCGCTTTCCGAAAAATGCCCAGCACCAAGCCATTGGGGCTGCCAGGAGCCGGAATGCATGATCCACAAGTACACCGCTGGACTGGCGAGCATCAACGTGGCTTGGTTAGGATCCCACCGACCGGAGCCTGTGGTCTTGCCTGGAGAACGGCCTGGAGAATCACTAGATCCTGCCATATCCATTGGCATTGAGCATGAAAACGGATCAAATCCATTGGGAATTTGGATATTCCCAGATCAAAGAAATCGGTTGATATCTTCGTATGGATTTGATCATCCGATGATCACCCAATATTCCATACACATCCATACACTATTTTCATATTCATATCCATGGTTTAGTGGGAAATTCCCTATTTTGCCCAAGTCGTGGTACTTCAATCCTTTCCATCTCCCGTTCGATGGGGATCTCGTCGAGGTGGTTTTGATGTCCCGCTACAGCGCTGGCACCATCAAGGCGGCCTTGGATCGAGTGGCGGCCGTGGTCTTTGCCTCTGTGGTTGGTGCCATGGCAACCAGAAGGGCCATGGTGGGCTTTGCTTAGAAAATGAACGATTCATGTGGGTAAAACAAATTTATAGACCATCCCCCAACGATGAGTTTGCTAATCAAACTCATGGCTTCAATGATTTCCAATGAGTAAACTCACTATTAATTGGTAATCAATGGGTTCAAAATAGTGACCTTGCATAGCCCAGTGGATGAGAACCTTTGCTACTTGAGCTACACGGCCCCCCTCCTGTCAGGCATCATCCCGGCACTGGTCCGACCAACCTGTTGTTGGATTTTCAAGTTTTCAAGACACCAAAGCCCCATGAAAATGGTGGAGCCAGCATAGAGATGCAAAAAATCTATGGCTATTTCCCCTGGAATGATCAATAAATAGAGGATTTCCCCCGGATTTTCCAGATTTTTCTGTCACTTTGCTGCATGGAATGATTTAAAACACCCACTGCGTGGCCGTCCAAGGCACCTTGGGCTACACGGCCTTGGGATGGTGTACGGACGTCTACAGGCTCGCTGTCTCTGCGGGTTGATACACCCTGGTAATGACTAACAGTTTGCCGTTGAAAATGGCCATTTGTAATGACTAGCTGAGTTTGTTTGATGTCTACCCTCTGGTAATGGCTGACATAGCTACATAGCTATTGAAAATGGCCATAGAAATAGCTAATTTACCCATTAAACATTGCGATTTTCCATAGTTATGTGACAGTTTACCAGAGGGTAGTGGCGAATAGTTCCCCCCCTTTTGTTGGCGACCTTCGCTGTTGTAAAAAATCGCCCCTTGTGCCGAATCCCAGAAGCGGCGTCGCTCATTGCGATCCCCATATCTTGTGGGTCAACCGGCGATTTCTGCCAGTTAAACCAGCATTACTTCTTGTGAATCAAAATCGTCCAACATCTGATGTTGTAAACTGGTAAGCCCTATATAGACCTACAGTCTGGGACGGTTTTTCAATTATTTCTGTTAAAATTGTTTAATGGTTTTGGACCCAGAACATAATTATAGATTGATGGGTGTATCAACATTTCACTGTTGGTAACATTCCCATCCATTGATGGTCATCCTCCAGTAAACTAACATGAATATGCACAACCAATGGTTTCCCGTTCCGAAAAGATCTGTAAGTGCTGGATTTTCAATCTCTATGGGGCATGAAGGGTAAAATCCCATCTGTTTCAGCAGATATCTAATGATGGTATATATATATATTATAATATATATATATACACTATATACTATATACTTATAGACTATATACTTATATACTATATGATGATATCTAATGATGAACATGAGTGGTAAAATTTCCAATTTCGCTCAATTTCCATATGTTTCATGGAGTAAATTCCCAACACAACCGCTGCGGTTAGGGTTTGCACGGTGGTGGTGATCTTCTTCGTGACCTGGGGCTTCATGTGCGCCCGTCGTGGGTTGGTCGTGGGTTAGGATCCAACCGGAGGTGTCCCAAGCTATGATTTCTTAGGGACATGATGGGACCATGATGGTGATTATATATAATATAATATAATATGATATGCTATAATATGCTGTAATATATGTATATGTATATGTATATGTATATGTATATGTATATGTATATGTATATGTATATGTATATGTATATGTATATGTATATGTATATGTATATGCTTATATATATACATACATACACATGTACATATATATGTATATATGTAGTAACTATGACATTGGGATGGATTAAACTACCTATATGATATGATTTGGGGGATGAACAAGGCTGTGAACATCCATAAAATACCAACTATTTTATGATGTAATTGCAGGGTACAAGGGTTTTGTCCCACCAAATCAATGTGAAGAACTACGGGTATGGGTTAAAACTTTGGGTACCTTTCTGGTTGATTGGGCAAGCCAGATTCCAATAGAAATGGGGATGGGAACGAAAAAAATCAAGAGTTGTTCTCTCCATTTGCAAAGGCCTTTTTTCAAGTGTGTTGGTTCAATAATGTATATACATAACCCAAAATGGAGGGATATGAAATCAAGAGTTGGATTCTCTGACCCCGGAATAAAGATGACTTCAGCTTCAAGTTCAGCGGATTTTTTTTGCAAGCTTTTGCAGGATGAACTTGATTTTTTTTTCTTCGTGAAATCAGTAAACACATCACTAAGAACTTTATTTGAGACAGTGAACAGTTTCTAAAAAATCCATTCAACAGTTTCTTGGTTTTATTGCTGATATTCCTTGCAATTCTCTGTTTTTTGTTGGTCTTCTTCACTGGCAGGGTCCCTTGAAGAAAGTCGTCACCAGGTACATGAAGTATGATGGCTCCGGGGACACTGCGGGTATCGCCCAGCGATTAGCGGCCATCACGGAAGCTCAACCGCAGGGCAGTTGTTCTGTTGGGTCAACTTTCAAGGTCCTGGCTTGGGGCCCCATGAGGCGCCATTGGATTGGTTTAAGGGAAAATCTACAGGAAACCATGGTTTTTACCCTTTTTATTATCGGGGTTTCCTGTAAATTTTCCCTTAAACCAACCCAGTGAATAATGCGCCATAAGCTTCAAGATTCTTTGGAAATCTTTGGAGGGCACTGAACCGAGGCCTCAATGTTTTTTTACAAATCACACCATGGATAGAAAACGAAGACTTTCCAGCATGCCAGGCTCACCGGAAATCTGGAGAATTGTGAGGGAGAACTCATGTACGGGGCAATCCAATTTTGAGTTGAAAGGATGCAGGAACCCCCTATAATCAGAGGTAAAAAAAACCATGGCTGTAGATTTTCTTAGGTCGCCAGCTTGATGGCTGACTGCTCCAACGAAGCCTCCACCCCGGCCACGTTTTCGGGGAAATTCCACGAGCTCAGCGACATCATCATCGGTGCATTGGAGAAGATCTGGGATGTCCGTTGCTTAAAATCACCAGCAGTAATGGGTATTAAATTTGGGGGTATGATGGGGATACAATGGATTGAACCATGTATGTTTCTTGGGTGTGTCTGAACATGGGAGATTTCATGCTTCAAATGGCAACAAGAAAAAACAGATACCCGGAGAATGGTGATTAACTAATGGAATTTAGAGGTACCCTTTTTCACCCAAATGGTTCAAGAAGTAGACATGAGAACTTTGCGGGCCTTTTTCTGGGGAGCATTTGTTTTTTGTTTGTGACTTTGCAGCCTTTGGGAAGCTGACATGAAGAGGATCAAGGGTTTTCCCTAACCGGGCAAACCACCAGAAGGGGACATTCCAGCAGATGATGCGCATCCCAAGAGTAGTGCAATTGAATTGTCCGATGAATTTTACCAAGTGGAAGGGGGGCGGAGCTTCTAGCTCTTCCATGGATATTTTATTTACTGGAGTTGTTCTTGCTGTCCTTACCAGCTGTGTCCAAACTATTCTTATTGTTCAGCTCCTTTCCAGTACCGTAAATCTTCATTTTGGCAGGTGCAAAGCTCCCAGGCTCTCAGGTGACGTCAACATCCCCAAACCCTGGTTGCTTGATGGTGAGTTGATGGTGAAAGTTGGTAGCTTGTTTTCCAGATGCGGTACTGCTTCAAGCTGCCGGTTATGGATCGATCACCTGGCAGTGGAAACTGCCCCATTGATGTCCATTTCTGGATGATATCCAACATAAAGGGCGGGATTTTCATGGATTTTCTACATAAAAGCTGGATTTCGATTCACTGGCTGGGGGGAAACCCAGCGAGGTTAGGGAATTTCTGGCTAGTCGAAGTTGAGTTCCTCAATCATCCCCATGAAAACCACAGAGGATTTCTCCCGGACACTAGTTGATGACTCAGTGGCTCCCACATTTTGCTAGTTAAAAAACCTGATTGAAGTTGGATAAAGATCCAAGAACCTCATCATGTTTGGTTAAACTCATCTATTTGTGATGCCAGAAGGGTTTTCACTCTGCCTCAGGTGAATGGGCATCCAACAGTTGGGGATACTCCCCATTTTTCCTGCCCTTTTTTAGTGGGGAAAAACTGTTTCTGAAGTATAAATACTATCAATGGGATCATGGGCCATCAAAATCCATGTTAATATTTTACTGTATATACTTCAGATTTGCGTTGCTCAAACATCTTATCGCCTTCCGAAGTAGCTGAAGATCTGCCCATCAACACATTCCGTCACTTGTGACTTGGAAGCCAGGTGTCTTGGTGATGAACATCTTTGACATGGTGTTTGGCGAAGAATCCGCCGCCTCACAGGCCAACCATGGAGTTTCCATGGGATATTTTGACCCCCTACAATTTTTCTTGAGCATAGACCTCCCAAAATGGCTATATCCCATAGGAAAATCAACTTCCAGACCTAACTTTTTGGGTTCGATGATCGATCTTCCAAGTTGAGAAATTACGATCGGTCCCACAGGTTCATGCTGGCCGTGAAAAATCGTGAGGCAAAAGGAATGATGACGAGTACCGTGACGGAATTCCAAACCGTGCGGCCCCTGGTGCGACAAAAAATGAGCGCGAGAACTCCAAAGGCCCTAAGCACAACATGATGACAGGATCCATTCAATCCATTCTGAGAGTCACTGTCAGGCAGACTGTCAGGGGCCTTTCTGTGTATTTCTAGATGTAGTTGGATCCCCAAGATCTGTGTTCTTGGGTCATTTCCCATGGATTTTTCTCATCGTGTTTTTTTTGACGGACGAGGTCTTTAAGGACTACATTGATGGCAAGTTGAAGCATGAGGATCTTAAAGAAAAGATCGAAACTTGGACTCACCAAAGCTTGATGTCCAATTTTTGCCATGAAATTGGTGTCAATTTATGATTCCATTGATCGCCCTGGATGACCATGGCCATGGGTCCATTGGGACCCGAGTTGACCCTGGTTTGGAGGGCAGATTCCAAGCAACTTTTCTGGGTGGCTTTAGAATTTCTCGACTTTTTTCTTCCCCTGTCTCTACACCTCTACACCTCTACACCTTTACACATAATATATGTATATACATACAGATACACACATATATTTAATACACACACACATATATATATATATACGTATATATATATACACATGTATATATATATATATGTATATATGTATACATGTCTACATATGATACGTGCACATTATGTCCATTCCATGTGTTCCATCCTGACTTTGAACTCACAATCCCAAATTGACTACTGTAGTTGGTTGGTGGTTTCAATATATATTCTATTTCCAGCCATGAGATGATGGTCTGTCCACAACTCCCCTCTGGTAGCCAGACATGGGAACTGAATATCAGCCATTTATAGATGATTTGCCTAATTGGACGTGGTTATTTTCCACTACCAGGCAAGGTTACTAGACGATCTACCCCAATCTTCTTGGTGAAATCCCGAAATTGGTAGTTAACGATTTCCAGTTGTTCATCACCAGACATTGACTTGTTGGCGTTGCAACCACCAACTGTCTTGGCTTCCAACATGTGTCCAGCTAATGAGCCCAAAACCGTTTCGAAATTTTGGCGGGAGAAGCCCAGGATGAAAGTGCCCAGAAATCCCCAAATAGCCAATCAAATGAATCAAGTGATGGGCAAGTCCCCAACTGTCAACGGGCCACGTTTTTGCCGTTTCGAACTCCTATTGTTCTCAGTGCCTGAGTCCCACTTATTGCGCATCGATCTCACAAGTATTGGTAGGGACAGATGAAAAAGCTTTTGTTTTGTTGAAGAAAAACACATAATTTTTGTATATCCCCATGATCTCAAAATGCTTGTTTTGTTTCTTTTTGCCTGTAGCACTAGCCATCAAACCTCCTCAAAGATGTCGTTTTCCCAAGAGTGAATAGAGGGTTCATCCCCGTTTGCAGACAAGCGTTGCAGGTAAGTGATAACACATGGTACATATACCAAATTGACCCCGAGTGACCCAATATTCATAGTGTTGGTTGCATCACATGAAATATCCGCACTTTATATCCATCATTGAGACAAGCCCAATGCTTCAATAATCAATCATCATGTTCACCTATCTAGCCAGCTATTTCTCTATCTACCTACCCACCTAGCTATCTGGCTATCTAGCTACCTGGCTACCTAGCTACCTAGCTATCTAGCTACCTATCTATCTACCTATCTACCTACCTATCTACCTACCTATCTACCTCTATCTACCTCAGTCTATCTACCGCTACCTACCTCTACGCCTACCTCCACACCTACCTCTACACCTACCTCTACACCTACCTCTACACCTACCTCTACACCTACCTCTACACCTACCTCTACACCTACCTCTACACCTACCTCTACACCTACCTCTACACCTACCTCTCTACCTATCTATCTATCGATCGATCGATTGATCGATCGATCGATCGATCTATCATCTCTCTACCTATCTATCTGCCTACCTACCTACCTACCTATCTACCTACCTATCTATCTATCTATCGATCGATCTATCAATCAATCAATCAATCTATCTATCTTTCTATCTATCTATCTATCTATCTAACTATCTATCGATCTATCTATCTATCTATCTATCTCTCTCTCTATCTATCTATCGATCGATCGATCGATCGATCTATCTATCTATCTATCTCTCTATCTATCTATCTATCTATCTATCTATCTATCTTATCTTATCTTATCTTATCTTATCTTATCTTATCTTATCTATCTATCTATCTATCTATCTATCTAGACACAGGGCTTTACCACCGCGCTTCCTCTTCCACCTTGTCTCCCAGCTTTGTCTCCCACTTTGTTTCCCACCTTGTCTCTGACTTTGTCTCGCACTGTGCCTTCCGCCCTGTCTACCACTGTGTCTCCCACCACTTCTCTCCCAGTGTGGTATTGTGTGTCTCCCACTTTGTCTCCTGCTATGTCTTCCACTGTGCGCTATCCCGACTTCTCCCCCTTCCCATGCGTGGGGCAGGGTCCTGGAACCTTGGAACCTCGTCTCCCAGTTGTCTCTCAGTTGTCTTCTGCTTGTTTCCCAGTTGTGTCACAATTGTCTTCCAACCAGATGACGAGACGTTGTCTCGCAGTTGCCTCCAAGGTTTCTCCGCTTGTTGTCTAACTGTCTTCCGCCTGTCTCCCAGATGTGGTCTCCCAGTTGTCTCCCAGATGTGGTTTCCCAATTGTCTCCCAGTTGTTCCCAAATGTGGTCTCCAAATTGTCTCCCGGAATCGTTTTCCGCAACTCCCAGAATTGGACTTCCAGTTGTCTGCAAGTGTCTTCCACTTGTCACCCAGTTGTCCTTCAGATGGTGTCTCTACAACTTTCGAGTTCTTATTTTTCACTTGCCTTCCGCGCCGCGCGCCTCAGCCTTGACTTTGAAGCCGCCACTGCTGTTGGGTTGCAAAGCTGGGGGCCAATATACCCCCCATTTGTTGGCAGCATCAGGCTGGCATTGATGGAAAACTCAGTGAACTCAAATCCACCTGCTCTACGGCTTCGATGGAACCCAGGCCGGCTGGCTTCCATAGTGGACGGCTGCAAATAGGACATCGTTAAATGGTTCTTAAATTAATTATCACTACCCCCCAAAAAAGAGTATATTGAAGTGGAAACAACATGAAACAGCAATATCTATCGTGTACGAAACAACAGAAAGCTGAAGATATTCAGAGATAAAAGTAAAGAGGACGGGAAAATATGACCAACAAACGTGGACCATTTCCAAGATTGGTGGTTAGTTGAAAACGGTGGTTCCTAAAAAATCAAGCAGCATTTGATGAATGTTGCTGTGTTTTTTTATCCCGACATTTTTTGGCATCCAAGTATGGCCCATTCACCCTGGTACTCTGGTCTTCACAGGGAAACAACCGGTAGATGGATGTCCATCACCATATTATCATGGAAGTCAGGTCAACATGTGTCGACACTTCCTCATGCTGGCGAACAAAAAAACATCGCGTTTTTTTGCATCGGACATGCCGATCACAAATTTCAAGCGAATATATAAATTGAAATGGAACTGGGCAGTAGGGAACTTTCCTGCACGCTCGAACGAAACCCAAAGCCTCAGGTGCAGCTTTAATTGGAAG